TATGACAATCATTACACACTCGCCTCGAACCCTGTGGAGCTGTTCCGTGTCTCTAATAGACTTGATTCTGTGGTTTCTGACACTGTATGACTCACCGTTATCTATAAATATGGACTAAAGTTATGGACATAAAGCTAAAAACAATAGCAGCCATCATAAAGGCTGAATTTTGGCTGTGCTTTTGTTCATTTTGGAGGGAAAATTGTGACTCTTTTTAAGCAGTTAGACTTGGATGCAGAGCTCGCCTGCAATAAAGCTTTACAGCTTTATTTTGAGGCCTATTTTAGCCTAATAGCCCCAATGAATCAAAAACTGGAACTGTGTCACATTGGGTCCTGCTCTGGATTCTTCCTCCTCTGTCAGGGTTTCTCCTGCTCAAGGTGGCTCTCCTAATTACACAATGGTCGAGAGTGGCTATTAATATCCATTTTCAATCTAGTCAAACGCTAGGAGCCCATTATACAGACTCCCTCAGGTACTGAACGCACACACTCGGCTAAAACTGAACCAGGAGTGAAATCTCGCAAAGCCGACACTCAGTGAAATTACACCAAACGTTTGCCCGTGTTGCTGTAATTTAGGCCTTTCCAGTAGAAATGAAATGGCGTTTAAAGCTAATAGTGCACACAGGCTGACAGTAAATGGGGCTTATTTAAAGAATTAAACTATATATAGCCTGTGTTCGAAACAGGGCTGCCACATCAGCTCTGCAACTCCCTGCTCGCTCAATCAATCTCATATGGAGGAGAAAAATATTAACGTAATTTACAGTAAAGAAGTGCATTGTATTATGTTCACATCATAATGCGTTACTTTTACAGCAGTATATTCTCAAATGTAAGTTAAAAATCTCTGATTTCTAAAAGAATGTGTAAATATGTTAAAGATAAGACCTCAATATTCAATACAGTTCAACAGGTTTAGAAACAGAACTGCACTGGAAACATTTTGGCAACTTTTTTTTTTAGTTGTAACAATACATTGCTGTAAATACAAGTGCATTTTGTTACTTATTTTGCATATAAAAATATAGATTTACTTCAAACGATCTGTTGTGTGCTCTTCAAATCATCACTCTTAAAACAGTTTTACGAAATAAATTTGTTTTTAACACATTTTTTAAATATTTATTGAATATTTGCACATATATTTGAGTGACATACATTTCCACATATATTTGGTTAATACTGTTGCTGTCAAACAATAAAAACTCTTTTTATTTTATTTTTTTTACATCAGTTGAACACAATAAAGGTCTTTAATACTATGTAAAAATGTAATCATGAATGGGTGAACAGAAATGCTTCAAAATTCTATGTATATCACATTATCACTTAATAATAATATTTCCTTTTTTTTTGCATTTAAATTTTTTACTGTCTTTTTGATTTATTTTAAAGTTCAGTTGAAAGATTTAGATTCATCATAAGTTTAATTTGTGAACAAAAAAGCTGTCTCTACATTTTTATATCACTGCCAAAACATAGTTTTAGTCTGTGGGCGGAGCCTTATTTTAGCCACGCCCCTGCATTTTAGAGCAGGAAGTGAGGCTGCATCCCTGTCCCTCGTGGCCACATGGTGAGCAGTTAGATCGCATTGTTTTGAAGTAAATGTGTCCCAAAGTCTGAAAATCAGTGTGGAACATTAAGAATTGTCACTACCGAAACACAGATTTTCTACTTTTTTGTGTTTTAATGTAAAATATGATGATTTTCTGTGTGAACAGCTGTTCATAGCTGTGTTGGCTGGTCATGTACTGGCTGAGTTTTTGAACTAAAATTGTCACTACCGAAACATTTGGTAAAGTTTGGTAGAGTTATGATTGTTTTGGAAATGACAAAATGGAAATCAATCATTAGTTTTAATAAAAATAAACACAATCAAGGTTTAGAGTCACTCAAAGCAGTCGAAAGGCCAAGATTAGCTAAAAATCCCAAATGTGTTTCAGCTCTGACTTTGCCATTTCTTAACCTCCCTTCACAAAACACTCCAGGCACAATAGCCTCCAATAGTTCGGTTCACTTTATTGGGAATTTGGCATGAAGTTTGTGTAAACAGTTCCATTCCAGTATACGGTTAATAATGCATTGCCTCTGATTCAGAAGCAGATGCATATATATATGAACACATTTAACATAAAGACTCCAGACAGCCTCACTTACAGCCACCCACGGCTTAATAAGAGTTTTATGAACAGTCATTAAAGAACCACAACACACTCGGCTCCGAATCTGCTGTTTGCGTTTATGTGCTTATTGGATCAGTCTGGGCCTGTTGATTCTGGGTCTGTTGAGTCCTTGGAGACAACCAGATGGTGGATTTTTGCTCCCAGTGCAGAACATACAAGAACTTTGGATGCCCAGTGATGAAAAGGCTTTGGAAAACAACTCCTATGCATGTTTCATTTGAATCCTGAAGTCATTACGTAGTCAAAATATGGATATTACTCTGTTCATGCAAGCTAACACGTTGACTTTGCATCACATTGTGTCCACTACTATAACTCTAAACTGCTTCAACACAACAGGAGTTACTCAAGCTGCAGGGTTCTACTGTCAAAGCTACCACACTGGACAAAGCTTGGTGGTTTGTGTGGGGTACTAGACTACGGCAAATAGCCCACAACGTAGCATGTATGTAGCGATATCCATATTTTGGCTGCTAAACAACCTCATGATTTCAAGGATTGAGGGCAGAACACATCAACACCACTGTTCATTTTTCCCATAGTAATAAACGGCTCAAACTGAGGACACCATTAAATGCTAATAGCGAACTACAAAACAATGAAGCAATAAAATAAAAATGCTACGATATTCAGTAGCTCAGAGTGCAGCAGATGGTAGCTGCCAGACTACATGGGAAAATCTGTCTCAGACTTGCAAAACATGCCACTACACATTCGCCTCATAAGCACTGGAGGGGGATTTCCAGGAGGATCCCAGGCATCCCGGGGCTCCTGCATTAGAACCCCTGGAACTGATCTTCGGATACAAACCTTCACCAAAGCACTAAGCCAGTTCATTTGGTAAGCATCGGTAACTGTGACGACAGTGTCAATAGATTTCTTTATTAATATTTCTACCATCTGTAGCAGTTCATACATAGAGGCGCTTCAATATGACATGAAGAAAATCTCAAATATAGTAACGTTTCTCTCTGATATCATGTGGGAAATGTTATTTTTGTATGCTTTCATAAAAGTTGCTACAAATCATCCAGCTACATTAATCGCAGAGCAGCTACAGCTCAGGGTCCGACCCGCGTTGTGCACCTTTCCTCACTTGGCTGAGCGTAGCATTACTTAGCAATGTACATTTCCCTGTTAAAAAGTTTGCTATTCAAAATATTTTCATACTAATGATTATGTTTTCTTTGTTAGTGTCAAATATCTTAACATATTAAAGTCTACACAGGTTTATTAAAAAGAAAACAATCTCATTTGTGCTAATATTAGTGTCCTACTTTGGGATTAAAGCCAAGCCACGCCCATTTTATCACATGTTTTGATGTCAGCACTCAAACTTTTTCAGGTGACTAAATCACCTTTGGGCCAAAAGGGTTTCAGATCATGATTAAGCGATTAAACAATCGTTAAAATTGACATTCTTGAACAATCAGCTTAGTGATTAGTTAGCTACGTTTAGCAGTCTGAAAAGTCTCCACAAGGTGGCAATATTAGCACTGATAAACCTGATAAACATTAAATCAAATATGCAGATACGCTGATAATGTAGCCAATCAAGAAGGACGTACATTGTTATCTGGAGCTACTAGCCTAATGCAGCTAATGTCGCTGACGTGTAATCATGACCTGTCTATGCTCCGCCCACAAATGTCCTTTCGTTTCTGCTGTTTCTAGACTGGACAAGTTCCTTTCAACTATTATTTTTTGTGAAAATATCCACGTTTATTAATTTGAAATAATAATTATTCTGCATGCTTGTGAAAGATGGCACTGTTAGGATAAATTGTAAAAACTGATGCTTTGAGAGATAAATATCTGAGCAGGAAGTTTCCTTGTTTGTTGTTTTAAGTTTGCTAGCTAGCTGGGTTAGCACTGTATACTCTGCTAGCTACTGTATCATGGCTGAAGTTACTCTACACTTTCTAAGAATAAAGTGTTCTTTGCTCGATGCCATAGAAGAACCCACTTTTGGTTCCATAACGACAGTGGTGGACAGTAACTAAGTAAATGTAACTCGTTTCTGTACTTAAGTAGTTTTTTTATGTGTCTGTACTTTACTGAAGTTTTTCCATTTTGGTGACTTTTTACTTTCACTCCACTACATTATGAGAAATCTGTCGTTCCTTTTGGTTTATGTGTGTATAAAAACATAACATCAAAACGAAAGAAGTGTGAAGCGAGAACACCAATCAGGGCACAGCGGTCACTTTGTTTTGAGCTTGTTTTGACCTGTTGGTCATTCCGACCCAGTGCAGCACATGGTTCTACATCACTGCAGCAGCGTAAAATTTTAGGAGAGTCTATTCAACATAAATGATGAACTAACCTAACTTTGTGCAAATAAACCACAATATAGAAATATGTACACATATGCAGTTGTGACTGACGTGTCTTTTTTCTGAATTCATACAAACACATTTCATTTTATAGTAAATTAGTTTAGGCTAGTTTATGTTTATGAACAGAGACCTACAGATGCAGTTTAGTAAAGGAAGCTCATTTGTGAATCTGAGTTTAAAGTTTTTATTAAACTCAAACTTGTAACTGAGTTCAAATAAATCTTAAACTGAAACTTTGCTTGTTTGTAAAAAGTGATTTCAGAGCCACTCAGTTCTACCTGATGGAAACTGTTTGCCTTCAGTGTTTTGTGTTTATGATAATTTTAATAGATCAGAGTCACTAATTAATGACTCTATTAAAAGACTGGTTTACCAAGAGAGACACTGGAGTATTTTCACCTAAAATGAGTTAATCAACCCAAAAAGCGCTTTTACTTTTGATACTTAAGTACATTTGAAGGCAAATACTTTCTGTACTTTTACTCAAGTGGAGGTCTAAAGGGAGGAACTTCTACTTTTACTGGAGTAATATTTTACCTTGGGACTATCTCTACTTTACATGATTTGTGTACTGCATAAAGACCCTTTCACTGGCTCATTCCTTGGGGATCCATTAGCGGTTCCTCTAAGGCATTGCTCGAAGAACCCTTTGTGGCACCTTTTTTAGGAGTGTAGCTGCAGTAGGTGGAACGTGGAACATGGAGCGGTCTTTTGACAAAAGTATGGACAAAGTTCAGGCCTCAAGAAGGTAACTACTGTTTTTGCTACAGTCCAAAAGTGAGAAAATGTCCATTTTCTAGAAGAAGACGAGAGCTTTTGACAGGTAGCATAACGGTTCCACACACACCGCGTCCCCTCATCACCGCCTCTTCTTCTGCTTCATGCTTTTCCTCCTCTTGACGATCATTTCACACAGCTTGTCCATGCCCTCGTGCAGTCCCTCTCCGATGATGGCGCAGGCCGGCTGGACATGGTAGGCGGCCCCTGGGCTGATGTCCTGCAGGTCCAGCCTCCGTTCCACCTCCGTGGCTGACAGCGAGCCTGGCAGGTCCTGCTTGTTGGCGAGGATGAGCAGTGGCGCCCCCTGGTGCTCAGAGAACCGGGCCACTCTGTGCAGCTCGGCCCGGGCCTCATCCAGCCGCTCCACGTCCACAGAGTCCACCACGTAGACGATGCCGTCTGTGCGACGGCTGTAAGGTCTCCAAAGGGCCCGGAGCTTCTCGTGGCCACCGGCATCCCACAGGTGGCAGGTGACCCCGCGGCCAGACAGTCGCACGCGCTCCGCATTGAATCCTATGGTTGGGACCGTGTTCACGAACTCGTTGAATTTGAGGCGGTAGAGGACCGTGGTCTTTCCTGCAGAGTCCAGACCCAGGATCACTACGTGCAGGGGCTGGAAGGCCGTGATGGTGGAGAAACTGTTGCCCATTTTGTTGGCAGCTTGGCAGAAATCAGAAAGTCGTGTAGAATCCCATAGAAGGCTTTTCGGTCAGGAGCTGTCCTGCAGTGCACAGCTGGTCAGCAGCGATTCCTGAAATCAGGGATTAGAAAAAAATGTTAATACAGAGCAAATTCTAAAAATGGAAATGAGCAGAATCTCTTATAGAACATAAACAAAAAGAATAAAAATCAGGTTCAGCTTCCATATATATATATATATATACACACACACATATGTATATATATATCATATACAAAGACAATATGTGTATGTATCATATATCATATATACAGTCAGTGAGTGTATATATCATATATTTCATATACACAAACAATATCATATATATCATATACACTCACTGACTGTATATATGATATATGATGCTTACACTTATTGTCTGTTTATATGTTATATATGATATATGTAGTGTATGATATATACACTTATTGACTTATGTATATCATATACACAATGAGTGTATATATCATATATATCATATACACCGTCAATGAATGTATATTTCATATGCATCACATACACAGTCAATAAGTGTATGTATCATATATCATATGTACAATCAGTGAGCGTATATATCATATATATCATGTATACAGTCAATGAGTGTTTATGTCATATATATCATATGCATGGTCAATGAGTGTATGTATCATATGTCATATATACAATCAGTGAGTGTATATATCATATATACAGTCAATGAGTGTTTATATCATAAGTTGAAGCTCATGACATGTTTTTAGAAGTCACAATTTCCATTTGAAGCTTAAAGAGATGTAGTTTTACCACTTTATTTCCTGTGAGCTTGTTTTTCTTGCATCGTTTTGAAAATTGCCTGCCCATTTAAAGTGGTTAATCATGTTGCATGTAAAAGCTATCAGACTTTCTGCTGATAGTCTTAATATATAGTCTGTGTATTGTAGCCTATATAGTATAGATAGTCTGGCAATACCATGAAATAATTAACCTCTTTCTGCAGTGCCCTCTAGTGGCCAATTCACCACCAGAGTGGAAATTGGCCTGGATATTTTTGATTAATACAATCAATCAAATGTTTTTTACCCCATAACTCTGTTACCAGACTAATCAGGACACTGTTGTCTCTGTTTGCGACTCTGTGTTGAGCTGCTAGTGAGCAATGAGGGATGAGATTGCTCTCCAACAGTTCTATACAACTGACACAATAAACAAACTGCTTTTGAGCACAATAAAACATGTTTCTAAATGTTGACCTGCTCGCTTGCCTAACATCTAGTTTACTTCTGGTTTTGTAAATCAAACTTCTATCAGAATATAATCTGTTTACATTATTAAAGGAAAAATGCACAGTTCAACTGAGGGACCTTAGAAACAGGCGTGAAAAGGAGTTAAAGACTAACCAAGTGACAAGTCAGAAGGTTGTGTGGAATCCCATCCCGACCGGCTGCTGTAGAAGACGACCCTTCGGAACAGGAACAGCCTTCAGGCTCAAGTCAGCGTGAAGATACACACCTGTCTTACCTGCTGCAGAAGCACCTTCAACATCATACAAACAAAACAGGTTATGTTTTTATGGCACAATGAAATATCATGGCTGCAATACTAAGTGAGCAAAGTGGCTAATTATAGAGTCAGTAGCCAAACAACTAGTCTGTATCTGTATCTTAAGCACTGGAGGGGGGTTTCTTAAGATCTGGCATCCCAGGCCCCAGCATTAGAACCAGTAGAGCTGATTTTCAGTGGCGTTTGCACTTTATTTACATTATAATGGGAAAAACACTGTAAGTCCTCCAGTATGACTATATTTAGATTATAAATAATAATTTTTTTATTTTATTTTTTTATGATCTAATAATTTTATTAGAATTATAGTTTGTGACTAAAGCTGTGCAGGTGGTGCTACAGTCTTTTAAAAATGGTTCTACCAAAAATGTACCAAAAATGTTTCTTTGCTCACAGCAGAACCCCTTTTGAGGCTTTATAGCATTTTTAATGGTTTTTAAAGTTTTCCATTACAGAGAACCATGCAAAGAACTATTTATGCATTCCAATGGTTCTTTGAGTGTACATGATTCTATATAGAACCACTGCCTTTGCCTTAGAACCACTCAATAACCATTTGTATAAACTAAGTTGCTACTACTGCTAATGGCTAAATCATCACATGCATTGTAGAGGTACAGTACAACACAGGGTTCCATGTAGTACCAAAAAAAGGTTCTTTGACTTGTAACTGTAGTAGAACTTTTTTGTTGGCATACGGAACCGTTTTTGAAAAGTTTCTTTAAAGAACGCTGTATGTCTTTCCATTGTACACATTTAAAAGAGATGGTTCTTCAAGGGTTCGTGAAAATGGTTCTATATAGAACCATGCACACTCAAAGAACCCTTTGCATGATTAAATGGTTCTTTGTAATATGAAAGGTTCTTCAGATTGATTGAGAATGTGCCATAGATGGTTCTATATAACCTTTTTGAAAATGGTTCTATATAGCACCCAAAAGGGTTGTTCTACTGTTGCAATGTCAAGCTCATAGCAATTGACAAACCTTTTTGGATGCTATATAGAACCCTTTTCAAAACGGTTCTATATAAACTATTGATGGCACATTTTCCATCAATCTGAAGAACCCTTTCCTGATGCAAAGAACGCTTTAATCAAGCAAACGGTTCTTTGAGTGTTCATGGCTTAATATAGAACAGCTGTCGTCACCTTAGAACCACTAAAAAAACATTTTTATAATCAAAGTTGCTACTTCTGCTACTTTTGGCTTACAAGCAAAGGGTTCTATAGGGTACCAAAAAGGTTCTTTGACTTGTAGCTGTAGTAGAACTTTTATGTTGGTATTTACATCCATTTTTAAAAGGTTCTTTAAAGAACCATACAGAACAATTGTAGAAAACCTTGAAAAGAACTACTTATGCATTCCAGTAGTTCTCTGAGTGTTAATGGTTCTGTACAGAACCACTGATTAGTAAAGAACCCTTGAAGAACCATGTGTATCATTCAGCTATGTTTACTACAAGACAAGCCAAGCAGCTACATGTTTTAGCTTACAGCAAAGAGGTCTATGTAATACCAGAAAAGGTTCTATGACTTGGTGCTATGGAATGCTCCTCGAAAAGGTCCTTTAATACAACGGCATGTCCATTGTAGAGAAGAACCTTTTAACCATGCATTTAAACATCCACATGGTTCTGTGAGTTGTCATGGTTCTACATAGAACTGTTGCCTTTACCAACCTTTGAAGAACCGCCTTGCGCCGGCAATCCAGCGTGACTGAGTTATGCCATCTGCTCTATTCTACCAGGAGACTGGAGGTGCTGTTGACCGGCTGAAATGCAGTTGGAGAACGAGTCCAAGGAGAACGCATGGTCCTCTATGGAGATCCTGCAGAAGGCAGAATGGAGACGTTTCCTCCTGTTAGTCCTGTAGAGATCCCACGATCTTCACCCCACCGTCGTCCTTCATCTCCATTTCCAAACCGATCAGAGGAATGAAATGTTTTTGGAGCAGGTGGGGGTCCAGAGAAATGGAGCCTGAGTTCAGGTTCTAGTGCTGCCCAAAGCACAACCCTGCAGAACCTTGCAAAACCCGTCAAAACCCATCAAAACCCCACAGTTCCTTGCAAAGCCTTTTTAATCCGGCTCGTTTCTCTCCAGCCGTACAGTCTGAGCCGTGCTGCTGCTCTGCCACTGCACACACACACACACACACACACTGCGCTAGCAGAGGCAAGTGTGTGTGTTCACATTCCTCCCACACTGGAGCAGAGGAAGCACACACACACCTCAGCCCATCTTAATCACATTACAGCTCTGTTTTGGAGCCCCCTGCTTGGCTGAGTGCTGCTGCACATTAGGCTGAGTTCCAGCTTCGGCTCAAACCCAGTCGTAAAGGAATTTGAGTGAAAATATAATATATATATTAAATATTAAACGTTTTGAAATGCTAATACATGCAGAAACCAGTGATTAGAAAATGTAGTTTGAACTGTGTTAAATGAAAAACAGTACAAATAGCAATACATCATGTTTTATCTTATACACTTTAGACTATGGGTGTTTTCACACTTGTCCAGGATACTTGAGTCCACATCCAGGACTTATTCTGGGCTCGTTTGGGGGACGGGGGGCTCATTATCCTGGTTTGCTACCGCACACAAGAATTCCAACCAAACTGTGGATTGTGTGCAGGTTTGCAACATGGTCATTTTTATTATTTTCCTTGGATACAAACACTTAAGTGGCAAAAACCAGCAATGAAAGCTTTAGCGAAAGTTCTGCCAGGAAGATTCCAAAGCTATGTCATTCACTCATTACTCCTGACCAATCACGGACCTACACCTGTCTTTAAAATGACACGACTTACGTACCTATTCTTCTGCTTTCAGGTGCTGGCGTTTTGACGTTCCCCTCCTTCCTCCCCACCGCCACCAGTTGGTCCCTGTCCGGTTGTCTGGGGGCAGGCTCCGCCCCTGCCATCTCTATCCAGCAGGATCTGCGAGGGTCTCGACGCTCCAAGACCTGGGCCGAGGACGGGGCCTACGCCAAAGAAATTATAATTGAGGATATAAAAATTGTCCTCCTTCACTCTTGCCTGCTCAGTCTTTCTGGCAGAACTCTTATTTCTCTGTCCACAACAGTCCTTTCCTATCACGAAACTTGAAAAGGGAAGTGATGCGATAAGTCAAAGCAGTCACGTTACAAAATGAGCCAATCGCTCAGCCCCACATGTGGCACTGGAAGTGAATAGCCTCCACACACACAGTGGACCGCACCACTGGAAGCGAACCCCAGACCATCGCTTTCAGGAGGACCAGAGAACAGTTCTCTGTTCTGCTCCCAGGCTCCAAAACAGCTCTCACACATGACCAAATGTACCGATCTCGCAGAGCAAGCGGTCCTGGGTCGGGAAAAAACCCTTAATTATCATATGAAAACGAAAGACCCGAATTGATCCAGTTCTGAAAGCTACAGTTTTTGTCATTCTTCCATTAAATCTTTAGCTGTAGAACCACATGCATTTGTTATCATATTTTCAACATTTTCACGTTTTCAACGGGAGGCAGGTCTGAACTACAGTCCAGCACCCACATTATCTGGTTACACAGCCGTGCTGTTCTAACTCATACAGAATACCTGGATTTTGAACTTTATACTGGTAACAATCTGGATCATTGTTGTCTTTTTCTGCCCAATGTCCATTATTTCCATAACCAATATGAAACTTTGACTCGCTCAGACCACAGCACTCCACTGTGAGTCGGTTTCAGATGAGCTCAAGTCCAGAGAAATCTGTGTTTCTGGGCATTGTTGACCTATAATATCCTCTGTACATTTGTGGATGCAGCGATGGACAGCGTTTATTCACGTCTTGTAAAAGTATTCCTGTGCCCATGCTGTGATGTCCATCACAGCAGCATGCAGGTATTTAATGCCCTCTGAAGGGTTGAAGGTCAGTTGTGGTTTTCAGCCATGATGAGAAATCTTCTGATCATATTGTAGCGTGTTCAGGAAATGATTTTCACATGATAGTCAAGGTTAAAAGCTCTCCGGCATTTATTCATGGGGTTATTCTGCTAAGGACTCATTGTGAAGGCGGGGCTAGTTTTGCCAGGGGGATATGTGTGAGAGCAGGAAGACTTGAGAGGAAGATGAGCTGAGAGAGTGAGACGTGAGCTGAGGCTTAGTGCGAATTGTTAGACAAAACTCTGTGTAGCTGTGGCCAGCAACAGCTGGATAATAAAGCACCATGACTTGTGCAAGAGCTGTGTCTCTTTTAATAGTGGTAAGTGCAACAATATTGTAGCATCTAGGCAAAGAAGAACCAGAGGTAAACATTGTGCAAGTAGGCAAATGCTCTTTTATTTAACAGGCAGCAAGAAAGAACCACCCCAGCACAAACCAAGCGGCCGGAATAAGAGAAGTTAGTGGGGAGGTCACCAATAGCCACAAAACTATACAATGAAGCACATATAACACCTAGGCACATCTTAGGGTGGGTCTACACTACACGGTTTTTTGCCCGATTTGCTCCTTGTGACAAGTTTCCCAGTCTGAAGCCATTTTCCAGGTCGGTAACTCGATCGCAAGTGACTGATGGTGCGGATTATCTGGTAGAGTGAGAGGAGAAACGAGTGAATCTTTATCCCTCCGATCGAACTCTGGAGTGATCAGAGACTCTCAGATATTATCAAACATGTTTGATATTTACGACGCAAGACGTTCACGAGTCCAGCAGTGTGAGAAGGTCAGAGATGAACTCAGTGATGATTCAAACAGCCAATCAGAGAGTAGAAGAGTGATAAAACACGCAAAGACACGTGCATGAACAGCGGAGACAGAGGAGCTGAGAGTAAAACACAGTCAGATTAGAGCCGATATCACGTTTATAATGTTGATCCAGACATCAAAACGCTGCCTTCACAGTTTCAGCTCAGTTGCCAGTTTGTAGTGAAATGTTTCTCCAGCTCTCACTGTATCTGCGCGTCTCAATCCACTTAAATCCCCATTTTGAGCTTTCGCTGAGCATAAAAGGACAAACAGGTCCAGTAAGTTCAGTTTTATTTGTGATCTGAGGAGATCTGGGAGTTTGAGTTCTTATTCGTAGCCCAAATTCGTTATGTGTGTTATTCTCTCTCTTTGCCCTGCCATCTAGTGTGAGGCCCTCATGACAAAAAGACAATTTTTCCGTTTTAGAAATCTGTTAAGATTTGAAAAGTCTACCAATATGGTGTCCCCCAAGGATCAGTGCTCGGGCCGCTGCTTTTCAGTTTTGACCACCGTGGAGCTTCACGCTGTACAAACCTCACCTGCATGAACTGACCCTCCTGCTGCTGCTGCATAAACTCAAACTATCTAATTAACCGTTGCTCCACCTGTTTTTCCCCATTTTGTATTCTAATATTTTATTCTAATGCTGTTTGCTATCCGGTTTGGTCCAGAGAAGGATGGTTTCCCCTTTTGAGTCTTGGTTCCTCTTGGTCTTAGGGAGCTTTTCCTTGCCGCTGTTGCCATTGGCGACGCTCATGGGGGCTCAGACCTGGATTTTTCTGTAAAGCTGCTTTGTGGCAACACCTGTTGTAAAAAGTGCTATATAAATAAACTTTGACTAGACTTGACTAGTAAACACCCAGCCTTAAATCCCCAAAAATGTCTCCCTTCTTACTGGGATCGTGGCACCTTCCGAGAGCCCCTTTGCATGGCCACTTTGCGCGGCCACACCTCCCGTGCTCCTACGACAGCGCGACCGGTGGTGAACACCACGATATTATGCATCATCAGTTACCTGAGGAACGGCTGCTCTTCTGTTTCTCTTTACACATCACACTAATGTACGAGCGTCTCGCTGACGGAAAACCCTGTTTACTGAAGTCTTTCCAACAGATTTAAACGCAGAGGTCACTTTAGTCACTATTCCTACTGAAGCACTGGCCAGTTGAGGAGCCCTTGTGACGGAAGCTCCTGCGATCCATGACCTCACCTGCAAAGTCACTTTTATCATTTCCTCTTGATCCAAAATTGAGGTCAACTGGCTCTTCTCAGCATTTTTCTACCTGCCACAGAGCAGGATGTTGTTCGCAACACACCTGTTAGGAAGCATCTGCGCTCGTTATGTTTCTCCACTCATTTATACAAGCATTTCCTTTCGTTTGTTACCCGTCTGTAGCATTGTTCAGCTTTGGTAGGGCTGTAGTAATTCAGACGTGTGAAGATTTCTACATGACTTACAGGCCGTCTTTCTGGCTAAACCATCAGAGTTCTTTCCTAGCCATGCCCTTTAAAGCAAACAAAATTGTCTATAGGAGGTAAAGTGGTATGTTTTCTGGTCTTTCCAATCTGTTGTCATAGTAACAGAGTCCAGGTTAATTGATGCTCTCTTTCAAGATCAGACATTGCATTGTTTATTAGTTAAAAAACAAAATTATGCAGTGAGTTTGAACTTTTGTGTCTCATGACACCTGCTGTTTGAAAGTGGTATTACACTGTCCCCATACATTTTTCCCCCAGCTTTCTTTCGGTAGCATTCTACCTAAATTTCAAATGGGCGACGTACATGATATATAAGATGACAGTCTCGAATTGTGATGTGTGGTTCTATAATTGTAAGACTTATGGTGGAAAAATAAGACAAAATAAAATGAAAATATGCCTTATAGTAACCCCCCCCCAAAAAAAACATATATTAGTATAATCATTGATATAATCAATCAAGGGTTTTCACCATTTTTAGCATTCTAAAACTTCTTCAGGGTGATTAATGTAAAGGTGCTTACATGATTGTGAGACTTATGGTGGAAAAATAAAGTGTAAAACAAAAAATATGCCTTAAAATACCCACAAAAATGAATATCATCATAATCATTTTAAGGGTTTTCACCATTTTTAGCATTGTATAACGTTTTCAGGGTGCTCAATGTAAAGGTGCACTTTTTTTTTAATTCAAACAGGTGTAACTTTTCCGTTAAGCCACCAGGTGGCAGCATTGTGTTAAGAAATATTAGTGTTCACAGGTCCTCAAGAAAACCTTGATATTTGTGCTTGTTTTTGAGTGAAAGCAGGAGACAAAATGATTTAGTGTTTGTGTAAGTGGTCTGTATTCTTGTATAGATCCAGTTTTCCAAGTTATAATAACTCAGAGAGAATCTAAGCTGTCTAACGTCTTACGACAATCAACAATCCAAGCACTACTAAGCCTATAATGAGGAAAACTACATTCTGTAGAAATTGTAGTGTAGAGTACTGGTCAAAGAGC